TATTCTATTCTATTCTATTCTATTCTATTCTATTCCTATTCTTTCTATTCTATATCCAATGCTGCTCCTTCCCCTTATTTTCCCCACAATAATCACCCTTGTGAGGAGGGTCAGGTTGAGAAAGAGTGACTGCTGGCCAGCTTCTATGCCTAAAGTGGAACAAAAAACCACAGTCTTCTTGTATCTATTTAAGTGCCTTTAATTCAGGGGTGGGTTCTGGCAGGCACCACTGCCGGTTCGCTCATGTGTGCACCATGTGTGTGCGCTTGATGTGTGCTGCACGAGTATGCACACTACAATTAAAATTGTTCTGTGCATGCACAGAACTGAAAAACAAGATGGCGGCACCTATGGCACCACTGGGTGAATCAGTTCCAGCGACCCAGGCTGCCAAACCACTACCGCTTCGGCCGAACTGCTCCAAACCAGTAGGAACCCACCACTGCTTTAATTACTAAGTGCCAGAATGTATCACAAGAAATGTTTATATTTGTGAAAAAGGTCACCCTTCATTTTTTTGTCGATCTTCTTCAGCAACTTGGTAGTGTACAAGAAGTAACATTTTTATAAAATGAAGCAGAAATGCATGTGGAATATAGAACATTACATTTCTAAGCTCCAATGCAGGTGACTTCCAAATAACTGCCTTAAGCTATGAATTTTCTTTAAAAAATAAAAACATTTTTTTTACCTTTATGAGTTTCAGAGATAGAGTTCTAGGATAGACTATAATATTGCCTGCCCCAATCTGGTGCCTTCTAGATACATAGGACCAAGACCTTCATTATCCCTAGTTAATGTGTCCTTTGGTTGGCCTTGAAGGGAGGCATAACCCAGCCTCTGAGGGCATTAGTTTAGGAAAACTTAATCTAATGGGAAAAACAGCATTGCCAAATATGTAAGATATAATTCTCTTTAACTCCTTAAGCAGCTCTAATGCACTGTTAATAAGGATATGAGGCTTAACTGTAAATAAAATATGTATTCTGTCAAAAAACAATACAACAAATTTATGAAACAACTGATGTGTGAAAGTGCACTCTCCATGTCCAGACCATTGATAATCAAGAAGCAATAAACATTAATCATAGCTTTATCTTTCTATTTGGCCATTTTTCTACCAGCATTTCATGGGATGATTTTATTCTTGCTTCTGCATATTCATGTTTGCTCCCTCTGGGGTTTCAAGGATCTTGCCATACAAATTAATTTAGAATGAAGAAACATCAACAAAATTAATTTGTTTGTTTAATATCCTGCCATTATTATTATACAATTGTATCACAGCGGCCAGTTGTTTCGCCGGATTTGGCATTGGTTACTAGTCGGGCCCCACATTGAGTACATTGAGAGTACATTGGTGTACTCTCGTCTGACAATAGTTTTTACTTCTCCATGCTTGATGTTATCCAACTGCAGAATGCCTAAGTATTTGTAGGCTTCATTTTCTTNCCATTCCCTCCCAATCAGCTGAGACTCAGGAGGCAGAGAATAGATGGGGGCAGGACCAGTCAGAGGTGGTATTTACCAGTTCTCCGAACTACTCAAACTTTCTGCTACTGGTTCTCCTGAACTGGTCAGAACCTACTGAATACCACCTCTGCTCTGCCCCTGAAGGCTCTGATCTGGAGTCACGACTGGCCAAGCTGGGAGAATACCAATGTATCACTTCAAAAATCAGAAAGGAAAGAGTGAGGAAGTTGGAAGTTGCGTACAAAAGTATCTTGGCAGGATCTCAATACCAGTAGTAAACTCTTGCTCCTGAATGGGCCAGCTGCTAATATCAGAGCTGAATGACATCAATAGTTGTATTCCACTGATAGCACAGAAGGCGTCATGTGAGGGTCATTGGAAGCAGCATCAATGGCAACCCAATCTGACACGTTTTCATGCCTCGTTCTAACTTGTAGCCATCTCCCTGGGAACGTTGACATATGGCCTGGATCTGACAAAACTTTGAGCCTGGCCTGCTGAAACTTGAGTGCTGGTAAAGAACTTCTCGGGGCAAATTCAGGCTGGACTAAGTCTAAGAGGTCACAGTGTTACAACTTTGAGGACCTCCATTATATGAAGACTATTAACAACTTTATTTCAGTTTTGCAGTCCAGGCACCAATATAGAAACTGATCTGTGGAGAATTTAGAGAAATTTCTGTATCCTTCAATCTCCCTTCAGAGTAAGTGAAACAGCCATTAAGATAAGCCATTGCAGGCAGTCCATGTTCTGAAAGAATTTCCATAAAAGCTAGAAGAATTCATTAGGGAAGTAAAATGACACAGAAGATGGCATTGGTCATAGTAGTGGCTTTACCTTGCTGCCCTATCAGTATGTGGGCTTCCCTCACATACAAGACATGAGAGGAGAACTGTTGTCCTACTTTGTGCATCCAAGCACAGCTTTAAAATAACCACCCGAGAACTGCTAGTTCATTTCATTAATAAAATTCATACTTTCTACTCAGGGAGCCTGGGATCTTATGAAGGCAAGTAACACTCACTGGGTGTTATGGAAATTATAATGCAGCATATTGAGATAGGAAGGCTTTCATACTGCAGTCTATGCACGCACACAGCTAAAACTTTCTGCCACCAATTTACAAAAGAGGCCACTAGAAAGAGGAGAGAAAAATCCAGCAAATGGGCACAAGGGGGCTCCCTGGAGTCATTTTGCTTCAGAGAGGGCTTTCATATCACTACTGTATAGTATCAGAGTTTTGCAAGGAGATGCTTATCATAAGAATCTTTGGACTGAGGCTGCAATCTGCAGGCCTTGTGATATAATTTTAATTATAAATTTAATTTAATGTAAACGTTTTATACAGTTTCATCACCTACTAGAAAGAATGACCATGTTTATCTTTTGTGGCAAAAGCAACAGAGATTTTGCAATCCCTTAAAAAACGTTAATGTTAAAAAAAACATTAGGACATTCACTGGTGTAGTATATAGTCCATTCATCAAATTCAAGGACTATTATCCAGGCATACTAAGCCATGCAACCAGTCAGTGAACCATTGATGTGGACAGTGTAGGAGGGCTTACATCGTGTTGTATGAAATGCAAAAAACAAATTAAAAGAGGAATAAATGGGAGCCATTTGCTGAGCATTCAAATTTTGATGACATGACCATGGGGATGCTGCAATGGTTGTAAATGAGAAAAAACAGTCATAAGTCACTTTTCAGTGCCTTTGTAACTTTGAACAGTCACTAAACGAATGGTTGTAGGTCAAGGACTACCTGTAGTAATCTTCAACAAAGCAGTCTGTATGACACAGACACTGGTATTGCTAATCTTTTTCCACAAACTGTAAATGTTACTTCTCCTGTTTTACAAATCCCATTTATGAAAGTAGCATGGTTCATACCAATCAGGTTTCAATC